GGTTTAAGGGTGGGAGACGTCTGAAGCAGAGGAAGAGGCTGTGGTGTGTTGCAAGCCCGTGGTGGCAACGCCACCACGTGGGAGGAAGCTGCTTCCCAGCGCGATGCAGAGCGGTCAGTCGCTGCGGGTACCAGCACTACTCCATGGAGCTGCCTCTGACCAAGATGTCTCACAAGAGGCCAGGTAACTTCTAGCTCTTCCCGCGAAGGCAGCCGTTCCCAAAGGACGGGGCGCGCCCTGGGCACACTAAGGCAGCTCCCTGCCTGTCCCGGCACCGCAGACTTGCTGCACCCCAGAAGTGGCAAGCAGCCAGCCACAGGCGGGGTGTGGAGGGGCAGAGCGCACTGCGCTCCATGCACTGCCCTGCCCTGCCCCGAGCACTAGCCCTGCACTCCCACCGGCTGGGAACCTGCTGCGGGCCGCTTCTGTGGGCAGCATGGCAGCTTCCTGAGCCGGGCTACTGCATCACTGACCGGAAACCGCTTGAGGTAAACCCCTCCCGCTCCAGCCTGACCCCCCACCAAAACCGGAGCCCCCTGCCCTACCTCAAAGCTCTATCCTCAGCCCTGACCCGGAGCCCACACTCTAGTCAAATTCTGTTGGGTCACGGCACCTATTTTCTTCAACTGGGTCATGAGAAAAAACTAGGTAGGGCCCCAAAGGGGGTCACAATCCCATTTTAACGGGGTTGCCGGGGTCAGCATTAGATTCACTGGGGCCCAGGGTGGGAGTGTGAGGGCTTTAGCCCAGATCTGTGGGGCTCAGGCTCCCCTCCCCCCATCCTGCTCAGGGATATTTTTGTTCTCCAACGGGCACAGAGCCAGGAAGTGTGAGAACCGCTGCTCTGAGGCAGCCCAGAGAATTTGTAGAGGCTTGGAGCACAGGCTGCCTGCCACTGCTCTGAACCCTAGAGAGCTTCCAGCTCCTACCCCCCTTCACAAGCTTTGGTCATCTCTACCCCACGCCTAGCAAATGAGGTTCAGCTTAGGGTGAGCCCGCCCAGGCCAGGCTAAGGACAGTCCTGCTGCCCTTCATTCATACAGTAAGGAGAAGAACTCTGTCATTATCCCTGCACTCCATAGTAAAGTGAAAAGCAACCCGGCACCAGCCAGAAGTGAAATGGTGTGAGAGCAGAGCGCTCCCGGAGAGCAGGCATGTCTATGCAAACGCAGCCTGTTCCTTCCGCCTTTCCCCTAGTTCATCACTAGATGCCAGTGGTGGCTCATTCAGACCCTGCTTATAGCGAGCTAGCTAGAGAGCGTGCATGTGGACGGACAGACGGACAGAGTGGCTGGGCATGGGTAGATCAATACCTGTTTCATGCAACTAGAATGACAAGCTCCAGACAGCACCGGCCAAGGGTTTGGTTGGGGGGAGGGGAAGTAAATCGTTAGAGCAATTGTTCAGCCCTGAGAAGGAGGATTTAGCTGGTGATCCCCACAAATATCCCTGCAGCTGCAGCCACTCTCTCAGCCCCGCCCAACAATCGGTGGTCGACTCTGGATTGTGAGCATTTGAGTGACTGAGAAGCTCTTTGGGGCAGGATCCTCCCTTTAGTTCGGGGTCCTGGGCTGGGGCTCCCGGACGCTCCAGCCGTGCAGCTGCATCAGGAGACTGGATGCCAAAGCCGGGCTGGGAAGTGGCTGGCGCCAGCATCCAGGCCTGGGGAGGAGTGGGAGTTTGTAACCCTTGTGATCCAGGGCAGACAATGGACCTGCTCCATGGCTGCTCTAGAAAGCCCGTCTCTGCCTCTAGGTTCCATGGACAGTTTTGAGGAGGACGAGCGAGATTCCCTCCCAGCCTCAGCTGCAGCCACAGGGGTCAGCGAAGGCAAAGCCAGGTGGGAGACTTTCTTGGGCTGCATCTCACAGCGGGGTGGAGGGGCCCTCAGCACAGCCGGGCTTAACGCATGGGTTTGGCAAAGGGAAACGCATTCATGTGAAGCCGCAGTGGAAGAGGCTCAGGCTCTCTGCAGCCTCGGGCAGCCTCCCTGCGTCTGTTACACCCAGCCCCTGGGCCCACCAAAGGGGACTGGTTCAATGGCAGCATGAGCAGCGGGTGCCTGACTCCCCCTGCACTGCCAATGGGAGTTAGTCCCAGCGGTTTGGTTGCAGGTTTTGATGCATGATGCAACAGGGCCGAAACCTGCCTCCCCTTCCAGGGGTGCTGCGTACAAAGGGCCGTGGCCCAGCCACAGCTTCTAGAGAGTAGTGCAGATGATTTGGGTTGCGACAGGGCGGGACACAAACAACCTGGTACCAGGGAAACGGTCCTGTTAGAATGACTCACACGCACACACGACAAACAAGCCAATGCACACCCAGGGCTGTGGAAGTAAAGTGACCCCCTCCCCCCCACACACACACATACACGCACACACGACAAACAAGCCAATGCACACCCAGGGCTGTGGAAGTAAAGTGACCCCCTCCCCCCCACACACACACATACACGCACACACGACAAACAAGCCAATGCACACCCAGGGCTGTGGAAGTAAAGTGACCCCCTCCCCCCCCCACACACACACATACACGCACACACGACAAACAAGCCAATGCACACCCAGGGCTGTGGAAGTAAAGTGACCCCCTCCCCCCCCAGTAGAACTGTACACGCACACACGACAAACAAGCCAATGCACACCCAGGGCTGTGGAGGGGAGTGCACGGGGAGTCGGTGACCTAGCCAGGGGCAAGGCTCCAGCCTGGTGCTCCAGGCAGCCAGGTAGCATTGCCAGCTTGGTGTGCCGGGCCACTGCACTGCAGCCAGCCCTGGTGTGGTGTGCAGCTGTGCTCAGGGCCCTGCTGCTCCAGCCGCTGGGCCAGCCCTGGTATGTCCTGCACCCGTACTCCCAGCCCCCACGCTCTGGGTGTGTGGCCCCCGCACCAGCCACTCTGAATCCCTGTAGCAGGCAGGTCAGCCAGCCCCAGCCGGCCAAGGCAGAGACCTGGGCACCACCGGGGGCCTGGCCTCAGGGCAGCGCATGGCCAGCCTGTGTGCCCGGTGCCCCGGTGGGTGTCACTCTATGGATTGCAGAGGGAGGGGGATCTCCCCAGAGGGTTCATGCCCAGGACACCTGGAGAGATTTCATCCGTAGATCTCCAAACGGGGCCAGTGGCATTATCTGGACCTTAGGTGGGGCTTATCCAGTGACATCGGCCTCCGTCCCTGCTGGTGTGTCCGCCCCAGGGTCTGCCCCGCCAGGAATCCATCGGGGGAGTCCTTTGCAGTCGTGGCTGCCAGGGTAACACACGGAATGCCCAAGTCTTAAATGCAGCTGTCAGCCATGGGCTTGCAGGGACCGAAGGAGGAGAAAGGGAACAGCTGCCCCATATGATACAGGGGAGTGGGGAGCTCAGAGACCCCTTGGCATGGGGGGGGCGAATGGATCCTTATATGGGGGGAGGGGAAAATGGGAAGCACAAGAGGTCCCTGGTGTGGGGGAGAATGGAGGAGGGGGGAGAAGGCACACAGAGTGTAAGTGGGGGATGCTGGCATGGGAGGAAATGGGGGACCCTGGTTTGGGGGGAAGAAGGTCAGAGGCACCGGGGGAGCCTGGTGTGGAGAGTAGGAGTCTTTGGGAGGCAAACTAGCCCAAACACCAGGGTGACGGTCTTGGGGACAAAGAAAGCAGTTTCCTCCTCCTTCCCCCCAGGCCTAGGGGCTCTGCTGGGCACCCACTGGACTCTACTCCCCTCCTAGAGCTGGGAAGAGAACCCAGAGTCCTGGCTCCCACCCGCGACTGCGCCCCACCCCCTCCCAGAGCTCAGGGTAGCACCCAGCCCCTTCTCCTCATACTCGGATCAACCCTCCTGTCAGCAGCCGGGCGGGGCTGGCTCGGGCTCTAGCAGCTGCCCTTGTGGTTCTTTGCAGCCGCCTCCACCCAGAAGGCACCGGAGCAGAGAGGCTGCGGGAGAAAGTCCTTTGGCATCCTGCTGGGGGTGTGTCTGCTGCTGTCGACAGCCGCCTTTGTGCTCACGCTCCTGAAATGTAAGTGCCGGCCCAGGGCCCGTGCCCCCTGGGTCTGCATAGAGGCTCCAGGCAGCCAGCCCTGCACCCGGGAGAGCCGGGAGGGGACTGAGCAGAACCTCCCCCAGCCGGTGCTCGAGATGGACCCCAAGTGGGATCTAGATCCGGATCCGGATCCAAACTTTCACATAGTCCAGACCTGCAGGGGGCTTAGACTGAGGCTGATTTGCTTTGTGCTTGACTGTCACTGCCCCAGCACCTACAGTGCATAGAGGAGACCAGCCTATTCTGCCCCCAGCTAAGGGAGCTGCTTCTTTACCTCCCAGGGCTGGAGCAGGGTGCTCGTGGCAGCGGGTTCAACTGCAGCTGTGACCATTGCACACAGCGGGGGCATCCCTTTCCCTTCTTGGGACGGAGCTGGGGGTCAGGGTGACAAAGGCTTCCTGGCTTGGCTCCAGCCGAGCCGGTTTCTCACGGTGTCAGCTTCTTGTTTTTCTGCTTCCTTGCTTCAAGAGCCGACTGATGCAAAACAGGAACAAACGTGTCCGGGCGGCGATCGGGGGCAGGGGTAGGAAATGGGTCCGTTTTGACTAATCGTTCGTGGGGAAAGTCTGTCTGAGCCGAGGTGGAAGCCCCGCTCAGGACCCGCAACAGGAAGTCCCGCCCCATTCTGGCTCAGCTGTGATGCAGGAGACCCAGGGCCAGTCCTAACCAACTGGCGGCCCCGGGCAACCACCCAGTTCACCTGTAGGGTTGCCAGATGGTTTAAAAAAAAATACCTTCAAAAAT